ACGATTAGGATTTATCTGCGGTGCACTGAATCACAGGTGAATACAGAAATATGGGTCGACTGCATTTTATAGTCGTACAGGTAAATTTATTTATAATAAAACTTGGATCTGCCTTTAATTCAATCTTATAAGCTCTAATAGTTTGTTCAATTTATAAATATATATATACGAGTAAGTTTTATATTATATAATAGACTGCCATTCTTGCTTTGTCCGATTTTGTAATTGGTCTCATGTACGTTCTCTGTCTATGGAGAATTAATATTTATTTTATGATAGTATTCAATATTTTTTAAATGTAATTCGGAATAAAATGCAAAGAGTGGTAACAAAGCTGCTCTTTCAGAATAAAATAAGGTATAGATATATAAATTAATTTTATATCTGTGAAATAAACGTTTAATGATGTGGCAGACTATGGAAATGTGGTCATACGACAGGATATTACAAGTCTATCAAAAGTTACTCTCTCTTAGTTTTGAGCAATATGAACCTGGTGTAGATTTCGTTACCAAAAACATCTAATATTTCAAAATGATAGAGATATTACATGAAATATTCAAAACAATTTTATACGTTCTTTTTATTTCGTTACCCAGAGCAACAAGTCTTTTCGTGAATTGATATAAAATAAAGGTGAAAGGTTCCAAACAAAAAAGCATTTCGCGTTTAATATTCTAATGGCATTGTTTCCTCCGGGGCAAAGAAAACAATTATTGTGAACAATCCATTATAAGTATTAATATATCTTCACTCGTTCTGGGTTTATGAAAGTATTTTTGTTTGTGCTCTTGTTCAAACGTAGATGTTGGGATAAGTACAACATAACACCAGACCACAGATTTGAGAATACATATTAGATAAACCGACGAAAACATAACTTAACGGTTGTATTTTTTTTACAAATTTCTGTTATCTGTATACTGATCGCAGTGTAATTTTAATGCTGAGAATGGTTGAGATATGGCATTGAGGGTCATAAACTATATTAATTAAAAACAGTAGCTTAAAATGTAAAGTTTTCTCAACTGAAATAGCTAGCCGAACTGGAATTACGGTCTCACTGTCGGAAAGTGTTGAAAAATTAAGAATTTCGTAAAAAGGGCCCAAAATGAATAAATAACTCTGACTCATAATAGTTATTCATATAGGAAGCGAGAAAGATTAGGAAACTGCCGTTATAACTTAAGCTTTTGTAAACAATCTTTCATACAATTTTTTTGTCACACCTACTGAAACTGGGTTTACAACAAAACTCGTTACTTGTCTACTGCTGTCTAAAAGTTAAGATATACGTAGCTTATAATCGATCCCAGTCCTTATGTACATTGGTCTTTCTTTGAACCAATCTGTTGTCAAAAAATAACATATGGTCCGGCAGATAAATAGTCAGATTGATTCACTCAAGCATTTGTATTAGTAGATATTTAAACTTTGCAATCCAAATATGTATTATTTATATCTATTAGTAACATAAAGGTTGTTCATTCTCTAAGTATTATTAGTGAGCATTGCATGTTTACTTTGCGTTAAGAGTACCAACAGGGAGTTAAGCTTTGTGCTATTATTCGATACGTCCCAGTTACTATTCACCTTGAGGTATAAAACATGTCGGTAATGACTATTAATGGCTACTATAAACCTTCACTTAGAAGTTGTTCAACTTTTATTTAAATGGAAATAGTTTCTAAACCGCATGAATAGGAAAACAAGCTCTTTTAATATGAAAATAGATGGTGCGTACCCGTAACGTAGAAACTTTTAAGTCTCTCTCCTTTAGTTTGGCAATTACATCAGGATATGTGATAAATACCAAATAACAAGGTCACCATGAGATGCCCAAGTACCATACCAGTATGTATTAATATTTAGTGGACTCATCATCATTCAGAGGAGGATCATGCCTCCGTAACTTATAATTTCACTGCCATATCCCACCCTTCAGCCGAAACACAACTTTCAAGCAAGTCGGTGGCTATAATAACTAACTGATAGTATATCTGTTAGTCACATCTCGTTTCTATATTTTTTAATTCTGTGCGTACTTATGTACGTTATATTGTATGTAAACTATGTACTGAGTCTACTGTTATGCTACTATTAAAGGTATATTTGGATATTATGGCTTTACTATAAAACTAAAATGTTTCCAACAGGACAAGTCATGTCATAGCCTTGTTTTGGATGTAATGAAATGAACGGTACAAACATTAGATGCTTGTGATTGATGATCATTAATGACGTCGGCTGTGTCAAAATGTTGTACACATTTTTTCTGATTCCGACACTGAATTTTCCCTCTAAGCATTATATTGTTATTTCGTCCTGTGTTTTTTCTTGGTTACTTCAGTTTCTAATTTCACTATTTATGACTATGCTATTGCTATCTATGTACATATTGTATAAGTATATTATCCGAGTAATTCATATCGAATTCATAACACTACATGTGTTATTTATTAGCATTCATAACGTATCCTTGATGATAAATATAAAAATAAAGAAAATCAAACTCAGCAACTAACAAGTCTTTGTCTTTCATAATAATCTCAATATATCCATTCTATAATATATACGATATAGATTTTGATATAAAGAAACTAGAACTACATATTACTAAGAACCATGTAGTAAGAAAAGAAACAAGTTTTGATATAAAATAGCCTAATCAACCATCTCTCCGAGACAATAAAATTAGGCCTACGGCACGACATAAAGCACAAAGAATATATAAATAATATTGTACAAAAAAATAATTAGCCTTTTTGGGATTACAAACTTGAACTTATATACTTATGTTATTATATAGACATTTATTATATTTATATAACAAATACAAATAAAGGGACGATAAATATATGTTTATTGAGAAGAAAATTCAATAACAGTGGAAGTAAATTCAATTGAACTACAAATTATGACTTACAAAAATATAATATAAGAGAGTATACCTTGAAGAAATAGTAAGGGAACAAGGCCGCCATCTAAAATCGAATTGTGGCGCATGCAAATGTTCATTTTAGCATAAAGATAGGATCACAGCGGGCTCATTGACGGTTCAGTTCCTGGTATGGCCTCGTGATTGCCAGATAATGTTAATGATGCTTAGCTTTGTGGCGGAATTCAGTAGGTAGCATTGAAATGTTAATGGAAGATTAGGGACTTCAATGCAGAAGGACTCCTATCATATTGCATATTCGGCAACGTACCGTATGTTTAATTTTTACAAGAAATCAAAAAAACTAATTTATGTGAAAATATCAAAATACCAAATTTAAGACTCTTACAAAGGGTGCCACAACAATATCAAAATTAGGAAGATGGGGAGATGCAAAACATTTCACCGATTTATTCATTTTCTACGGAGATTATAAGAACCGGAAATCTCTTTTTATATTTCCGGAAATATTATATCAGAGAATTTAGATTCTCATAATGCATGATGTATATATAAGTTTAATTTTTTTTTTGTTTTATTTATTATTAGCTGTGTAATGAAGTAATTCTTTTTAATTCAATTCCCCAGCTTTAAAAATTAATCAGAAACTATAAAAAAATATAATTTTCCATACAAACTGGTTAGGCAAATCCGCAAGAGAAGATATGTTTAATTAATGCAATAAAATTAACTAACTACCCAAAAATCCCGATTAGCTAATTAGAATAAAACAACTAAAATTTTATTTAAATTTCCAACACATAATATAATCTATATACTATCCTCCATATAATCCAAAAACCTGACATGAAATCAATAAAGTTACTGACGCCCAAAACACTGTTTAAGTAATTAATCAAAACAAAATGAACGAGAAATTCTGTCAAGGAGGCTTATTTGCAAAACTTTGAAATCATAATGTCTTCATCGGATTTGATTGCTTATCCAATACCTAACCGTACTGGGAAACTTTCTTTTAGTGCTTCTAAAATGAAGCTTGTCGGTGAATATCTGGAAAATCTCGTAATAAAACATTTTTTATGTGCAATATATATTGCTATGCGCAATAAGGGTTTCTGTCCACGATCCCCTTCCACAAAGACCTCCTCTTAAGTACCACTTATATACTACTAGCCTATTTTCCGCATATTAGACTGCGTGGCCCTTTAATGTAAATAGACCAAATAATGAGCATACCTATTACCGAAATGAAAGCATCTACTACAAAGTTCCATAAATATCTTTTGCAGTTATATGGTATTAAAATCATTTCTTTTCCAAACCAGAAATCAATTTTCATTAAGCACTAACAGGATCACGAATAAAATAAAAATATGAGCATTTTGGTATAGTCTTTCCTTATATAACCATTATTTTCCAATGTGTATAATCACCAGTAAAAGTTTTAGTTTAGATGAAATTAACATTAAAGGCATGGCAACTTAGTACATTGGAGTGGCAATATATGAATAGTATCCCGGCATGATAACGTGTAATCCTTAGTGCTGTGTAAGCAACGGTTACCGTAAGTACATGAGGTGGGTGCTCAACTTATTTGGCACTGTAATTACATAAAAAAAGTACAGAGTACTCTATAACAAAGACTATACCAAAACTACGGTCACATAGAAGCAGTTCATATATTGTTCAAACAAAAAGCAGTTAACTATTCAAAATCATTCAGATTTAATGTTTAACGGCGGAACCAGGCAGGTTTTAGCAAAATTTGTTGCGGTAACATTTTCAATTCATGAAGCTCCTAACCCAAGGTAGCACCTCATCTTATAAATTATTCGTCATCACTTCAAATACCATTCCTTTGTCGCGTATCGTTTTATAAAAGCAAAAAATACATTTCTAACATTGTATTGCTGAGAGTAACTTAAAACTATTGCTAAGTGTATCAAATAATAAACTGTAGAGGTAGGAGAACAAACAATGCGAATAGTGTAAACATCGCTGGAACAGACTCCACACATCTGCTTGATCAATAAAACGTGTCCTTGACATTAGATTTTGTTAGTATCTAATAGTGTTATATATTTTTATAATATGCACCCACCTTACTCCAATAGTGTTGTTGCTATTCACATACGCTATGTCACAGATTACGCGTACACACTGAACAAATTAAGGTATCGTACACAGTCACAGATATTTCGGAAGGTCGCGACGCGCCGTAGCGGCGTAGTTACGCTACGTACTGTAGAGTGGCGTAGTGGTGTAGAGTGGCGTAGATCGCGATCGTAGCTATACGCGCGGTCTAGTCGACTGGTCGCCCCGCTGCCGACGCGAACACGGATTGCCGTGCACAGTCCATCTTTGCGATACAGATAAAACATGTATATTTTTTATTAACTTAATATACATTTTAATTTTGTACAACATTATATCAATCATGACATCCGTAGATAAATAGTTTGTTCTTTAAAATAATATTTAGATTACATAAAAATACATTTATGATTTATATATTTTATTATAGCTTGTACTGTAATAAAGTAATAGTTGGAAACTGTATAAATGAAAATTTTATTTATATAGAAGAAATAATTTGAACAATCCTTTCTCAATTTATACTTGCTATATTATTTAATATAACAAATACAATATTCTGTTCTAAGACAATTTAAAATATTACAGATATAAAATATAAAATTATTGTAATAACATATTTTAATCGCAAAGTTTAATAAAACAATGTTATATATACGACGCGTATTGATTGATTCGATTTCAGCATAATTGTAAACGTCAAACAACACCTTCATGTAAAACGCAAAATATCTGTATTCTATGCTTGCTCTACGCAACAAGGAGTCTGGTATTGCGCTTGCGCGCGGTGACGTCAGCATATCTCACCCCGCTTACCGCTCGCCGCCCACGCGTCGTGCGCTCGCTTACGCCGTCCGTCTCAGCCACGCCATCCACTCCATCCGGCTCGCCACAAATCATCCCAGCTGGAATTATTGAACCGTTTATAATTTAATTATATCTTGATTGAGATTAACATATTATAAATTACTACATTTTACGAGGAATTTAGTGTTAAGACGTTACAATCTCACATAGTAATATATTTGTTACGTCTAAACGTACGTCTCTATGTAAGGCCGATACAAAATCCAAATGATGTATTACTTCATAGCTACATTGTTCTGATTACACAGATTACAATAATCGTTAGATTTTTTAATCTAATCAAGAGTCACATAGAATGTATAGATGAACTTGCTTCCCACATATTCCTACACATAAAATTAATCATATAATTGTGTGTTTTCCAACCAGAATTCCACAATAATATCTTTAAATAAATGTAATAAAACTAATTAGTGGTACTACTAAGTCATATATTCTAAAAGTTCTATAACTTTTTGGTTAGAAATATAATGGAAAGTTCGTAGTATTAAGGACCAAGTTATTATTTAATTTCATCTTCTTATTAGTATACTTGGAGAGAATTAATTATATTTTTGATAAGTTTCATTTACCAGGTATTGGCAAAATACACCACCTTCATATACGTAATATTAAAAAAAAACAGTAGGTACATGCTCAGGACCAGGTATTGCTGTTGTCCTAATCCTAAAAAGGGTAGACAGAAGTGCCTGTCTACTGTTATGATGTGGATATATATGAGTATGTAAATAAAAATATATTGTCCAACCATGCATCCGTTTACTTCATTAGTGCGAAGTTGGAGTATGTAGTTAGTGAAATCAAAATATTGCCATATAACACATACTTTTACATGTATAAGATATAAACGTTGATATTTACACCTACACTTATCTGAAAGGCACCAACTCGACAGAACTGTTACAAGTGGCGACACTTGACATAATTCCTAACATAATGCTGTGGGACAGGTAAATCGCGGCCTATTTTCTTTAAGCCTTAATCCTTATTTAGAAATGTAACGTAATTTTATTAAAAATGTTACAATTTGAACAACTTTGCTTCGGATGGCCTAGTCTGTATTCAAAATACATTTTTTTTTCTTAGACAAGAGTACTTCGCATTATTAAACGACTTATAAATAACGAAGTCTTTAATTAATTAAGATTTAATTACACAAAAACTTTTTGAATTTACGACCACTTTTGATAATTCCTTTTGAAGTGAATGCAGGTTGGTTGTTCTTCATATAATTCAAGTCAGATTTATATTTGAGAACAAAACCTTTTAAAAATAAATATTTTGGTCACAATTTTTTCTGAATATAATATTGTGTTACAAGCATCACATATATGTGTTATTTTATCTCTACTTCTCTGAGCCTAATAAAAATATGAAAATTAAATGCGAATAGATATTTTATTACAATAATTTTTATAGGTATTATGCACTAATACAGATACAGAGTGTAGTCTATCTGCATTTAATATCATCATCATCAATATCAGTGCAGTCAATGCGGTTCCAATGTTTTTTTTAACGATTTCGTCTAACTTTGCGACATGAATCTAACTGTTTGATATAGTTTTTTATTTCAACTTTACTTTCTTCTATACCGATACATTTGTGCTTTAATCTCTAGGGTCAGCTCACTACATTCTCGAGACTAAATAGAAGTTATGACAGTATTTATGGATAATACAGATTTATTGAGATAACCGTTTTCAACTTATAATTGTAGTGCTAATATAATATAATTGTATTTCCGATGGTCGCAGGTCGAATCCTCACACGATGTAAATATTTGTATTCATGAGTATAATTGTTTGTATTGGTCTGGATAATTATAATTTCATAGTTCTACATTCATAGTACTTTTTGGCAACAGAATTACAAAAACAGGAAAATTCATGTAACTTTATATTTAATTCTATTCATACCAATAATATAGTTATAGTTAACAAAAAAGTAGAAAAAGAATAAAAATACATACGGATGTTATTATTGAAATTAAATTGGATCCAAACAAAGATTCGTTTGTTTTAGTTCATCTTTCCAGTTAGTTCTTTTACAACAACAACATATTAACAAGCACAATGAAAACAATCAGACTATATCCCACAAAGGATACCTATTTCACTTCCGCACAAAGAAAAGCAGAAAAGTAGCGTCAGTAAAACCAAACATAAACACATGTAACTAAATCGCAATATATCGCGTCGCTCTCCTAAGCGGAATTCTATGAAGCTCATATAAAAGGAAGGGAAGAAGTTTTCTCCGAGAGCCCTTTCTATTTGGGGTTGTCATCGGTCCCCCACTGTTACACTGACCCTCGTTGTGGGGGAAGCGACGCTTGGTACAAGTTATAAGATTACACTCTTGGAATAATATAATAATTTTATAACGAACATTATTACAGTGAGTTACACAATATTGGATGTAGTCTAGCAGAATATTCGAATAGTTAACATACATTATTATACATCGCTGGCTTAAGTTTAGTTATGGAACTTAAACTAAAAATTCAATAGTGTTTTCTTCTGTTTATGTTCTATTTTTATTTATAACTTGATTTTCTAATATTTTAACAGGTAATGTACCTAATTTTAATAATAATAGTTATAGTGATACCAACTACTATTGTAATATGTTGTCAAGGATCAGTATAATGTACCTACAGAAAATACTAGATACGTACAAAAATGTTGAATAGTACTAAATCGGTCTAAACAACTGTTCAAAAAGTTGCAGTTTACAAAACGGTCTCTCTGGTCTCATTAGAAAAAATAACTGTTTCTTCATTTCGTCTTAAAAAAAATCTAATCCCTTGCCAATTGCCATAGAATAAATATTAGGATTCAATCTTTATTCAATTTATCCTATCAATTTACATAACAACTGTAGACTTAGTGTGATCAAATTAATAACTTTAATTATAATTTTCAATTAGTAACTCTTAGATGATTCTTGTAAGTTAGACAGAAAATCTATCGTGGACTAAAGGCCGGGACATCGACCTGACACATCAACGTCAAATACTGACATTAGAGATGTGCCTAACCTTACAACAACAATGATGACTCTCTGATCGACTGAATTCATTCTTTGACTTTGAGTCAAGTCGCTATCCGCTTTTACATTAGACTTTAAACATTGAGTGCTATTAACAAAAATGCGTTAGTGATCGTCCGATAACGTCCCTCCTAGTCCGATCCCCGACACAGAACAGCTTCGTCACTACTTGTATTGTATCTTTGTCCCAATGTTCATTAACACATGAACCATTCGTCAAAAGTCGTTAATGTAACTGTTAATTGGTGTTTTTGTTGTCATTTTTAGCAAACAGTTCTAACCCTTTTATATCTGAAACACGTTTGGAAAGGTCTTTATTAAGTCAACAAAGAGATAAAAATGTTCGCAGGAATTTCACATCACGTACCTACATACATATTTTATTTGATTGCTAGTATATATAGTAAAAGAACAAAAATGGCCTTATTTGTCTAACCAGACTCGTAAAGATCGAATTTCTTACAAGATGTATATTACATAAATAGACGAATAAAAATGTAGAACGTCACAGCATTTTTAACAATCTATAAGCACTGCCTCAATGTCGAATGGTGCCAGTTTGAATCTCTGCCCATTAAAAATATTTATAATTAATGATACTGATAGATAGAATAATACAGACAGATATGAGATATTTGGTAATTTGTTTGATAATTCTAGGCATTTTTTATGAACAAATACTTTACATATATACATATATATTCATATGCAAAAGAAAATGGACCTAAATAAATATATAAATTTACATATATTTAAATAAACATATATACATTCGTTATCAACTACGGAACTGTAGTACCGTCTGTTTATCTTACTCGATGGCGTTATATATCCAGAATAAAGTGTTAGAACTAAAATGAAAATCACTGGCAGTTTTGTATAAGGATGAGTAATCTTTTTATACATTTGTTTTGTACTCGTAGTCACATCTGTCACTGCGCTCTGCTGTATTAAACGGTTACAAGCATATCTCTTTCTTTTCATTTATTATTACTTAAAGTGTTAATTTTTAGTATATAAACAGGAAATATTATTTATTTTCTGTATTCAACTATTTTATACTGTAGTTATACAGATTTACAACCACAGTCTGACATAATTATACGATTCCAATAAAAAAATATGATGAATACCTATCGTTTGTCTTATGATTAATCTACTCACTGCCTTGTTTCTATACTTCATTTAATATCGGATATATACAACGTACAAGATTCCGTTATTTATGTTATAATAAGATATATATATATATATATAATAATAACAATAATAATATCTTAAG